CTATCTCTCTTCTGGCCTCCACTTCTAGACATTGGAGTGCCTCAGGGCTCTCTCCTGGGCCACCTTCTCTTATCTGTGTCAGACCCTCCCTAGATAATTTCTTCTGGTCCTGTCGTTTTTAAAAATAAACTGTACTTTCAAACGGATCCCTTCGGCTCTGGCCTCATCCATGAGCTTCAGATCTGTGTGTCCAATTTCCTCTTGCCATTTCCATGTGGACGTCTAAAGGTCATCTCACATTTAATCAGCCACAAACAGAGCTTTTGCTTTTTTCCCACCCAAACCCATTCCTTTCCTGTCTTTTCTTTAAGATATTTTTATTGATTTCAGAGAGGAAGGGAGAGGGAGTGAGAGATAGAAACACCAATGATGAGAGAGAATTATTGATCGGCTGCCTGCTGCACACCCCCACTGGGATGGAGGCCGAAACCTAGGCATGTGCCCTGACCGAGAATCAAATCTGTGACCTCTAAGGTGCATGGGACGATATTCAACCACTGAACACCAGCCAGGGCTCCTGTCTTTTCTGTATGAATGAATGCCACCCCTACCACCAGGTTGCTCAGGTCACAGTCCTCTGTGTCACTCTGATTTGGGCCTTTCTCTCCCATCCCCCATCCCCTTCCAGCCCATCAGTTAAACCCTTCAGAACACAGCCAGCCGCTGCTCACCACCAGCACTGTTTGGGGTATTACAGGAGTGCCTCTCTGGTCTCCATGCTAGGCTCCCATAGCAGCCCTAGTGACTTTTTTTAAAAAATATATTTTATTGATTTTTTACAGAGAGGAAGGGAAAGGGATAGAGAGTTAGAAACATCGATCAGCTGCCTCCTGCACACTCCCCACTGGGGATGTGCCCGCAACCAAGGTACATGCCCTTGACTGGAATCGAACCTGGGACCCTTGAATCCGCATGCCGATGCTCTATCAACTGAGCCAAACCGGTTAGGGCCAGAGTGACTTTTTAGTAAAAAAAATGTTTTAACCTTAAAGACATTAGATTTTATTATGAAATACATCACACATTCAACATCTTACATATCACATCTATACTCCTTTAAGAACAAAAATACAAATCACTCTGTACTCTATTCCTGACCCAATACTTCAGAAGCCTCTGTCGGCCCCTCCTTGATCGTATCTGCCTTCCTTCCCCTCCAGAGGGAATATCCTGAATTTGGCTCTGTTGTCTTGATTGTATCTATTTGTTTTATCATCTATGTATAGAGGCCTAAACAATTTCTTACTTGTCTTTGGGTACTTTTGAACTTTTCATGAACTCATACTTTAGGCCTTCATCCATGACTTAGTCTTTTTGCTCAACATAATAGTTTTTTTTTGCTCATATTCATTCCTGTTGATGTCTAAAACTGGTGTTCGTTCATTTTTACTATATGACGTGAATGTGCCACAATTTATCCATTCTATGCTGACGGCCATTTCGCTTGCAGTTTTCAGCGGTTACCCAGTGCTGTCAGGAGCATTCTTTTAGGTCTCTTCATACACATGTTCCTATGTATCTGGCAGTAGTAGAAATACCTGAGTTTGCCATATACCGCGAGAATACCCAAAATTAAAAAGATAGAAAAGATCACAGCGTGGAACAACAAATGGAACTCTCATACAGTACTAGTGGGAATGTACAATGCTACAACCACTTTAGAAAACTATATGGTTATTTCTAGTAAAGTTAAGCACACACCTATCCTAAGATCTAGCAGCTCCACTCCCAGACATTTACCCAAGGGCCATGGGAGGGGGGGGGGTGTCCACAAAAGGCCTTGCACAAGACGTTCATGGCCGTTAGATTCCTAATGACCCAAAACGGGAAGCAGTTTAAATGTCCAGACATGGAGGAGGATAAACTGCTGATGCACACAGACTGCTGGATGAATCTCTAAAACATCGCACCGGGCAAAAGAAGCCAGACGCCAGGGTACACACATACTGTGTGTTTGTATGGGGTTCAAGAGCAAGTCAATCCAATCTGTGGTGACAACTCGGAGAAGTGTGAGCGGTGGGTCTTTCCTGGAAGGGAGCACGGGGAACTTTCTGGGCCGATGGCAGTGCTCTGTATTTTACACAGATGCACACATACATGGAAATTCACCAAGCTTTACCTGGAAAGAGCTCTGCATTTTATTATATATGAATTAAGCCTTACTGGAAAAAAAAAATTGTTCCAAGTGAGGTAAGACTTGTGGGTTGGGGTGTCCTATCCCACCCCATCCCACTGGCCCCTTAAGTGTCTACTGGAAGAATAAAGAAGCGTCATGAGCCAGGAGGCCCAGAAGGCTAGCCTGCTTCCTTTTGTGGGCAACAGAGGTGGGGACTGATGCGAAAGTGTGTGCGTGCGCCCCCCAACTCGACTTTTTTATATCGGGGTATATGCATGGGCTTAGTGTGAATGGTCAGAGCAGCTGTGAAGGGGAGAAGTCAGAAGTAGTCAGTGGGCTCCTGGAGGGACTGGGGGTTCCCAGGAGAAAATGAGACAAGTGAAAGCACTTAGTGAGGGTCAGCAGCGGATGACTTCTGGGGTTTATAATGCATGCCTGGGGACCTCTGATCTTTTTTAGTCCCAATTAGCAACAACCTGCGCTTCCATTTGCACTCAGTGAAAGTCGAGTAGCTCAAGCTCCCGGGAGCAGCCTGGCCGCCTGGCCGTGGGGTTCCCAAAGCTGGGCTTTCGCCAGCCACTCTATTTCTGTGCTCTTTCCTAACATGTTGTTGAAACTAGGGCTTTTCCTCTCCCCACCAAGGCGGTCAGGTGCCTCTTCATTGAGTTAGAATCCCCAGGAGTTCTGATGCCCCTGATGGGGGATGTTTCCTTTAGAGCCTCCTGTGCCTTCAGTGGCCACCATAGGCTGCCCACCAGAAACCAGGTCTCCCCAGGGAGGCCCCTTGCTCCCATCCCTTGCTCAGCCTGCACCGTCACCGCCTCCCAGGGCCCCCTTGCCTCACAGCTGACACTCAGGTCACGGGACGCTGAGAGCGGGACTCTGTCAAACCAAGTTCTCCTCCTTAGATGTTGGGCATGGAAATGGGCCCAGGGGGGACTGGAAGAGACCGTTCAGCCAAATGTCATGCCTGGAGTCGGGCCTGCCAGACGGCAGTAGAGTTGGAGGGAGCACACCAGAGCCAGTGCTGCTGGGGCCCCAGAGGGGGAGAGCCAGGAGCCCTGGGTGAGGCGTGTGGGGGAAGCTTCACTCTTGACCCTGGGAAGCCAGCTTCTGTGTCTCCTTGTCTGTCATCCCTGACCCCTGGCCAGTCACAGGCTTTGGACCGGATAGACCTGGACTCAAATCTTGCCTCCATTCTTGAGGTCGTGTGTTATGCAAGTTCCTTCGCTTCTGTGAGCCTTGCCTTCCCCCCATGCCCACTGCCGCCCCCCTGCTGGATAATGCCATCCTTATTGGAATGTGCTGGTTCCTTTCCCTGATGGCTTTGACCCCAAAAATTTGAACTGCCACGAAGGGGCAGCTGAGGTTCTTAGACATAGAGGCGGAGAGGCCTTCTCTGCAGCCAGGGGACCCGGGAAGGGCTGGCTGCAGCTGGGGCTCTCAGTGAGCGGTGGTGAGGCCCAGGGCTCAGGTCAGAACCGGGCTACCAGATTAGGCAGGAGCTGGCGGGGAGAGGCAGGGAGCCAGGATTAAGTAATCCTTGTGGTGTTGGGACCAGGGCCCGGAGGCCGAACTCTCAGCATTGCCTTGACCCTGCCCCAGCTCCTTTGCAGATGGCATGGATTCAGGCCAAACCGCTGGCAAGTAGCCTCTTCTCCCTGCTCTTGCCAGCCAGGGCAGCACAGGGCTCAGGCTGTCAGTGCCCCCAGGGCCTTGGCATTCATTTCATCCATAACATACAGATGAAGGCAGTGCCCAGAGGGCCGGGTGGTGGTGGTGCTGAGCCTTGGCACCCTGTGTTCAGACACAGTCATGTCCTGTCCCTGACACCAGGCCTGGAAGGATTGTTAATTCCTGAGCTAACCCAGGAATGCCTCATCTATAATCCACACTGAGAGAGAAGAGGGCAAGTTTCAGGGCCCGGGCCCAGCCTCCTGTGTTACTTAGAGGGGCTTCTCACAGGCACCAGGACGGGAGTCATATCCTCAGTCCCCTGGGATCTTCTCTGGGATATTGTTCAATTAAGTTTTACCTGAAATTAACCTCACATACCTGAACTAGGAACATTTAAAAAACATATTCTATTAAGAGTTTGTTATAAAGTTGTTCCACAGGCCACGAGGTAATAAAAGGACTAGGCGCAGCCTTGCAGGAAGCAGGCGGGGAGCTGAGGAGGGCCAGGATGAATCTTGGGCCTCGGTGAGCGCATGCCTGGGGTTAGGTAGGGAGGGGCCTGTAAGGGAAACTGGGCTAGGAGCTTTCTAAACCTGGTTCTTGCAGGGACTTGCCTTGTGACTCGAGGGGATCACTTTCTGTCCTTGTTTACCTTCTGGCTAAGAAGTGAGGATGGTGGGCTCATCTCGTCCTGAGGCCCCAAGTGAGGAGGGCAACGGCTATCTGTGGATAGTTAGAGGCCAGAGCCCTTTCTTTTCTTTACCCTTCGGTTAGGTGGGCATTGCCTCTCCTACCAGCTTGGTCCCTGCTGGGACTTGGGGACAGAGCTGTGGGAGAACGTGTGTGCCAGTGGTTCTCAACCTTCCTAATGCTGTGCCCCTTTAATACAGTTCCTCATGTTGTGGGGACCCCCAACCATAAAATTATTTTCGTTGCTACTTCATCACTGTAATTTTGCTACTGTTATGAATCGTAATGTAAATATCTGATATGCAGGATGTATTTTCATTGTTACAAATTGAACATAACTAAAGCATAGCAATCAATCACAAAAACAATATATAATCATATATGTGTTTTCCGATGGTCTTAGGCGACCCCTGTGAATGGGACGTTCGACCCCCAAAGGGGTCTCGACCCACAGGTTGAGAACCGCTGACGTGTGCCATTTTTGTCTGCACGTTATTTTTTCTCTCTGCAATTTCAGGGTCATGCTGAGGCAGCCGGGCGCCTGACAAGCGAGGGGAACCTGCCAAGGGATTACTGCTAGCAGGAGCTGACGGCAAGACGGCAGGACGGCTGGCCCCTGGGGAGCGGGGATGGGCAGAGCAGCCTCTGAGTTCGGGCCAGCAGCACCAGGAAGGAGGCCTGGGCTCTGGCTGGGAGCCTGGCACACGCTCTGCTGACCCAGATGACCCAGACTGCGTTCATAGCAGCACGCCGCTGAGCAGCAGCTGTGCCCAGGCCCCAGGACTCCATTGCTGCAGGAGCTCTGCACCCCCTTAGGACACTGCAGTGGGGCTGGGACCGTCGGGAGAAGGGACCTGGACCTCGATGGGAAGTGGAAGGACAGAACCTGACGCAAGGAGGATCTTGGTCTCTGCAGCAGGGTTTTGTGACACCCACAGAGCGTCCTGGTTTCTTCCCTCAGGGTTGGGGCCCGGGTCCCCTCCCCTGGCAGAGGGGTTGGGGCCGGAGGACCATCTGAGGGGTGGCTGCCTCTTGCATGGAATCAAGGCTGCTTGAAGCCCACATGTCCTCTGTTGCGATTGGGGTTCAAGGGCTTCCCTGCTGCAGGGGGCGAGGGGCTGCCTCGGTGTCTGCTCATGAACCACAAGGACCTCGACTACTCCAGACTGGATCATTTCAAGCCGCCAAAGAGGGGGACCCCCAGCGCTGGCAGCCAGCAAGCCCGATGGACTAGAAGGCTGGAATGGACTGACCTCCCCCTTGCCAGGGCAGCGGGAGAGGCAGAGCATCTGTGGCCCAGCTAGTGACAGAGGGACCCAATGAAGCCATAAGCAGGGGCCCAAGTGGCTCAGGGACAGGGGAGCCACTCTTGCCCACGTGCTTTCTCCTGACCTTGAGATCGGGCGTGGCCTGGGACGCCTGCTGCCATCTGCTCTGCAGCACACGCCCTTATGCCCTAGAACAGGCAGGCCTGCCAGTGGCTGGGAAAGGAGTGGCCGCAGGGACACCGGCCGCCCTCCGGGCTGGTGGTCCAGCCTCCCGGGGCCTCGCACCATGAAGTGCTCCCTGCGGGTGTGGTTCCTCTCCGTGGCCTTCCTGCTGGTGTTCATCATGTCACTGCTCTTCACCTACTCTCACCACAGCATGGCCACCCTGCCCTACCTGGACTCGGGGGCCCTGGGGGGCACCCACCGGGTGAAGCTGGTGCCTGGCTATGCCGGCCTGCAGCGCCTCAGCAAGGAGGGGCTCGCTGGCAAGAACTGTGCCTGCCGCCGCTGCATGGGCGACGCCGGGACCTCCGACTGGTTTGACAGCCACTTCGACAGCAACATTTCCCCTGTCTGGACCCGAGAGAACATGGATCTGCCGCCTGATGTCCAGAAGTGGTGGATGGTGAGAGAGGCATGGCCCCTCCTGTCTACCTTTGCTGCTCCTCTCCAGGAATCTGTTCCCCCACCCCATTTGGGAGTCGCTCTTAGAGCCCCCTCGGGGATTTGGGGCTGTCTTCTGGCCCTAGAGTCTTGACAAAGCAAGAGGCCCATTGAACCAGAGCTATCTACTGGGATCACAGAATCTGAAAGGCAGAGTGAGCTTTGGCCTGGAAGGAGAGAGACCTGATCTTCCCTAGGGCTGGTAGGGGCTGAGCATAGACCAGAAATTCCCACTGGGCCAGGCTCTGACACAGACGAGAGAAGTGGCGGATTCTGCCTTACAGATCCTGCTTCCTGACAGGAGGGATCACCAGGAGTCCCACAGGGCCTTCCTGTGACAGCTTGGAGCCCTTGAAGGGTCCTGCCTACTGCTCATAGTCACAGCCTTCCTTTCAAAGTTCAGAGTTCACAGGGCTTGCCCAAGGTCCCAGGTCCCAGTGGTGGCCACCTAGGTCCAGAACAGGACTCCAGACAGAGGTAAACCTTTGGGCAGGCCAGACTTCCAGCCCATAGGGATGGAACTCGAGGCTCTTTAAGCAGCAAGCAGTAGAAGCCGCTTCTCCTCTGCTCCCACAGTCATCCTCTTTAACCGTGAACTTAGGAATGCACATAGCTAAGTTTGTGTTCACTGAGTTTGTGTTCTTTTTTAAAAAATTTTTTATTTGATTTGTCCCAGGTCCCAGTGGTGGCCACCTAGGTCCAGAACACGACACCAGACAGAGGTAAACCTATGGGCAGGCCAGACTTCCAGCCCACAGGGATGGAACTCGGGGCTCTATAAGCAGCAAGCAGTAGAAGCTGCTTCTCCTCTGCCCCCCACAGTCATCCTCTTTAACCGTGAACTTAGGAATACTCATAGCTGAGCTCTCTCTCCACACTGAGTTTGTGTTCTTTTTAAAAATTTTTTAAATTTTTATTTATTTATTTTTTTTAGAGAGAGAGGAAGGGAGAGAGAGAAACATCAATGTGTGAGAGAAACATCGATCAGTTGCCTTCTGTCTGTGCCTCAACCAGGGATCAAACCCACAACCTGGGTGCCCTGGCTGGGAATTGAACCCGCCACCTTTCCGTGTATGGGACAAAGCTCCAACCAACGGAGCCGCACCAGCCAGGGCTCTGAGTTTGTGTTCTTGTTCCCAGGGGTCCTTCCTGTGCTGAGAAGAGGTTAGAGAAGCAGACCCCCTCTATCCCCTATCCCTTCCATGTATTCTGTCCCCTGAGCAACTCCTGCTCAGCCACAAACCCAGGTATATGGCTCAGACCACAGGGCATTTTATTTTATTTTTTAAAGATTTTTTTATTTTGTTTTAAAATATATTTTTATTGATTTCAGAGAGGCAGGGAGAGGGGGAGAGAGAGATAGGAACATCAATGAGGAGAGATAATCATTGCCTCCTGCATGCCCCTTACTGGGGATGGAGCCCACAATCTGGGCAAGTGCTCTTGACCGGAATTGAGCCCGGGACCCTTCAGTCTGCAGATCCACTGAACCAAACCAGCTAGGGCTAAAGGTGTTTTTTTTATTGGTTTTTAGAAAAAGAGGGAGGGAGAGAAAGGGAGGGAGAAACATCAATGTGAGAGCATAGCATTGATCGGCCGTCTCCTTCACGCTCTCTACTGGGGATCTATGGAATGGAACTGGCAATATTTTGGTGCATGGGACGATGCCCAACCAACTGAGCCATACAGGCCAGGCACACAGGGCATTTTAAAGGCCTAGTTTGACCTTACCAATCGGTGGCCTGTGGGCCACGGCTAGCCCACTCAGTGTTTTTAAAATATTACTATTAGTGGCCCGGCCAGCGTGGCTCAGTGGTTGAGCATCGACCTATGAACCGGGAGGTCATGGTTCGATTCCCAGTAGGGCCATATTCCCGGGTTTCGGGCTTGATCCCCAGAGTGGGGTGTGCAGAAGCCAGCCAATCAATGATTCTCTCTCATCATTGATGTTTCTCTCTCCCTCTCCCTTCCTCTCTGAAATCAATAAAAATATATTTAAAATAATAATAAAATAAAACATTACTGTTAGTTATCAGCATTTATGAATCAGGATATTGCACATGAAATCCATACGTTCAGCTTCTCTTGAAAAGTTAGACAATGTAGTCCTTCTGGGCTCACAGTCTCACGTGGCAACAATTGACTGAAGTTGCCTCTTATTGATGGATGGGGCCTCCTGTTTGCCATGAGCCCCACCTGCCACTTCATTCCTGTGTGTCACCTGCCTGGCTCTGAAGGCATTAGAATGCTACCTGGGCCTCATTTTGTGTGGGGTTTTTTTTTCACCTGCATGGTGCTGGGACATGCAGGAGACCAGCTTCATTCTGGCTAGTCTGGCTTTGAAAGAATGTCTGCGCTTCTCTGCCTTCCCCGGAGTCTCAGGGAGTGGCTCCACCTATCCCATGAATTCTGCCCCAGGCAGCTTCTGTCACCTCCACTCCCTGTAGACTGATTCAAACGAACCCCTGCAGCTCACCCCTGCAGCTCACGGGACTTTCCACCTTACCTGGACCTCAAGACGACCTCTTGATGTGACTCAGAGCTGCCCCGAGGGGACAGCTGAGCAGGGGCCTCTTCATGCGTGAGCGCCCACCCAAGAAGTTTCTCTGCTCCTGGCACAGGCCTACGGGTCCCTGGAGAATGTGCCTTGACCCCCAACCCCCCTCCAGTGCATCAGAGCAGCTGGAAGGGAGACTTTACTGTGGTTGAGGGGAGGGTCCTCACTGCTCAGAGAATTCCTGCTCCCTGACAGCCTGGTTAGGGGTCCTATGTGGCTTGGACATTGGAGGGTGAGGGCGGGGGAGGGGAGGCAGACAGGAGTCCCTCTCTGCTCACACCCACTCTCTTCCCCTCCGCTCTGCAGATGTTGCAGCCCCAGTTCAAGTCACACAATACCAATGAGGTGCTGGAGAAGCTGTTCCAGATAGTACCAGGCGAGAACCCCTACCGTTTCCGGGACCCCCAGCAGTGCCGGCGCTGTGCTGTGGTGGGGAACTCCGGCAACCTGCGGGGCTCTGGCTATGGGCCAGATGTGGACAGGCACAACTTCATCATGAGGTGAGCCACGGGGACCCCAAGCCTCCTGGAGGGGGGACTGGACTCCGTGGCCTTGTCTGGCAGTGTAGGAGCTGCCAGCGGCTGGGGCTGCTATCGGTCTCTAACACCCAGACCTGCGATAGGGTCTCGCCTTTGTTGGGGTGGATAAGGAGGCAGGATTCCCATTCAAGATTTTGCTTGAGGCCTGTACTCAGTCTCCAACTCTGAATTAGTCTGAAAAGAGCTGAAACTAGACTCCTAGCTGGCTGCGGGTGAAAACGCCCACCAGAGACCCTCCTACCTGCCTGGTTTCCTCAGTAGTTGCACCAGGGGTGAGGGCCCAAACCAAACCAGCATCTTGCTTAATAGTCACAGGTGTGATTCCTCCTGGAACTCACAGAAGACGGATGTCCTGGGCAGAAGAAGAAAAGTAGAATCAATCAGACAAGCAGATGGATGTCTGGTGCTTGCTCTGGGCTGCTGTCCTTTGTCACAAGGTTTAGATTGGGGGGTGGAGGGAGGGGGCTCACTCGTTCAACAAGACATCAGTGCCCAGCCTTGAGGACAGAAGGGTTGGACGGGCATTCATTCCAGACAGGGGCACAGAGCAAGAAGTCTGGGGATGGACAGGGAGTAAGAGTGGACTTGTGAGCCGGGTGCGGGCTGCTCCTTCTGCCCTGGACCTGTTTTCTGACTTCTTCACTAGACTTGGAGGCAGGAAATGCCATCCCACCCCGTGGAGGAAGAGCCCTTAAGAATAAGATACTGAAAATGCCCAGTTTTCACAAAGTATCTCGTAGGATGAGCGTTGCAGAAAGACCGGGTTTCCCAGGAGGAGGAAGGAAGGGCTTTATCTTAGAATCTGTTGCTGTCTCCATAGCAACACCGAGACAGCAATGTCTCTGAGGCTTTCCTCGTTCCTTGCAAAACCCTTCTTATGGTGAGAATGGTGCGGTAAGGGGGAGGGGGGTGCCAGGCCCCATCCAGGAACCCAGAGCCCCTGAGATTCTCCCCATCGTCCAGTTGCTGGCAAAGGAGGCAAGCTGGGAGCTGAAGAGGGGCTTCTATTTACCCAGAGACAGTGGCTGAGGTTGGGGAATGAAGCATCCATTACTACAGTCAACCTGCCCAGCAAGTGGGAGGAACCTAAAGGAGGTGGAGGCTCTGCAGCAGGGCCCACTGAAGGGAGGGAGGCATAGTGATGCTGGGTGACAGGTCTAAGAAGGGACTTTGTGAAAGCTCTGGCTGCCAATTCAGTGGGAAAGGCAGGTGGAGGGCTGTCTTCAGAAGCCAACCTGGGGCAGCTGTAGCCCTTTGATCTGCAGGACCAGCTTGGTCTCTCCATTGCTGGTGAGATGAGGTTTGTTTCCTGGGTCTTCACAAGAGTCAACCTTGACCCCAGCTCCTGTCTAGCCTAGAGCCCAGCCAAGACTTCCACTGCCTGCTACCCTTCTGTGCCCCAGCAGCTGAGAAACACCATCCCTATTAAGCCTTCCTCCCCAACCTGCTCTGTTCCTCCCAGAAGTGAGGTATTATTGGGGGGCGGGAGAGAATGTACACAATAAAAATGAATTCTCCTACGTCCCAATTCCCAAGAGTAAGAATTATTAATAATTTTAATACCATTCCAGATTTTTTTCTATTTGTATACAAAAGTATTTTTTCTTTTTCTTTCTTTTAATGAAAAATGGTTATCAAACTATAAAATTTTAAGTCTTCCTCTTCTGTGCTGTAATTCCCTCCTGGTGCACACAGTAGGTATTCAAGAGCTATGTATTATTAGGAAAGACGTGGGATACCTCACACCACTTGTTTTTTTCACTAAATAACTCTTGGACTTTTTGTTTAAAGAATAGTTTACGAATTTTTGAGAGAGAGAGAAAGGGGGAGAGAGAGAGAAACATTGATGTGAGAGCACAACATCAATTGACTGCCTCCTGATTAAACCCACAACCTTCTGGTGCACAGGATGATGCCCAACCAAGTGAGCCACACAGGCCAGGGCTCTTGGACTTATTTCTTACCAGCACATGTAAATCTACTTCATTCATTCTGATGGCCACATGGTATGTTGAATGGGCCAAAATGTATAAACCAGTCTTTATTGCTTCATTCTACTTTTCACTATTGTGATATAGAAGTGAATATCCTTGTACACACGCCTTTGCACACTTATGCACCTA